AAAATTACTTACTCCTAAGTAGACGCTTTTAATTTCCATCTCCGTATTCACAATTAATAAAAGTAGTTAATGGATCCACACGTTTTTACTTAATGATTTTGATTTTGAATTAGTGAAATCACCTCTACTAATTACATCACCTCTACTAATTACAGTTTCGAGTTTCATGAATTCCCTTTTCCTTAATCTCTTCACTATTGTAATCATATTAAAAAGAAAAAAAGTTAATGAAAAATAGTACTACATTCGGCATTTAATTGACATGGACAAAAAGAAAAAGTTGAAAAATTACTTTAAAGACTGGGAGATTTTTTAAATTTGGCGACGAAATCGGACACCGAAACTAAAATAAGAGTTTAACCAAGTGCCTTTTTGCTGTGTAAATCTATTTTGAAAAGACATCGTCATATGTTGTAGAACTTCATCTCCAGTGATTAAGAATATCTCTAAGGGTACCCACTTGTTTAAATCGGGAATCAAATGGCTTCCGCGCAATGGCCATTCTATTTCGGTTCTGGTCTGATCATTGGGTTGGTGAGAATTACCTTGATTCTATCCTTTTTGGTCCCCTCACTTGTAATGGTTCTGAAATTCTTCTTGCTAATGTTTTTCAAGAAGGTGTTCTCGATTTAGATGCTATAGGTTACCATCTCCCTCAGGATCTATTGTTAGAGATTCTTGTTGTTGCCATTTTGCATTCTAATTCGGGGATTGATGGTTTTTCCTGGAAAGAAGAGGCCAATGGCATTGTTTCTTCAGCTTCTGCCTACAAGACTCTTACCCTCAATAATGTGCGGAATAGAAACACTTGGAATTATTAACGATCTATTGGTATGAGTAAAAGGAATTCATTTCTCTTAAATAAAATTTTAAGTTTGAATCTTATGAATAAAAAAAAAAAGCATTGAAAAAATTTTTCTCTAACAAGGTACAACGTATCGTGACCAATGTGTTTATTGAATACCGAGAAGTTAAACCCAAAAAACAAAAAAAGAAACAATTGGAATTGGGTATGGAATGGAAGACCCCAACTCTACCTAAAATCCAAATGTTTTTATGGCTCCTTACTCATTGTAGAATCAAATCTTTGGAATATATATCTCCATTATCTTGGTATATATTGTGGAGGACCCTGCGTGTCAAATCTGTAAGGGCCGTGTTTAATCTTTTGATCATATCTTTCATAGATGTCCTCGTACTGTTGAGGTTCTTAACAGATTTTCTAGTGAATTCACTGCTAACTACAGTGTGCTAGACTTTAATCAATGGCTGTATGCCTGTATCTCCACTGCCGAAACAACTCTCCTAGCCCTATTTTCAATATCCCTTGGGCTGTAATCTTTTGTTTTACTCTTAGGATCCTTTGGACTCAAAGAAATCATTTTTTGCATCGTCAACAGGATATTGATTGCCGAAGAACATGCAATCTGATGATTATTGAAAGGGCCACTTAGTTCTGGTCGGTTAACCGAGGCTATTATTACTCGCCCTAATCCTACCAGGTTCATTTCGTGGGAAATCACCCCCTTCTTCTTGTTTCAAAGTCAATACCGCAGTGGGTGGTTGGTTTCATGAGAAATATTGGTCATAGCATTGCACTAGCGGCTGAACTTCGGGTAATTAGGGATGGGCTCATAATTGCTAATAATCTTGAGCTTCAAAATTTTGTTGTGGAAACCGATTGCCAAGTTGCTTACCTCTTTTAATCGGGTACTACCATTTTATTTCACCCTCACAGTTAGAGCTGTTTATATTCAGACCAAACTGATTAATTTGACCAAAATTAATCTAATTTAAGTAAAATTCAATACAATTAAAACCGACACCAATTTAGGTTGTTTTGAAATATAAAATTTTAAATTTGATATAAATAGTTTGATTAGTGATTTTACTTTCAAATGAATCGTGCTATTTAATTACAAAATAACTTAATTAAATAATATCATATTTTTATTTTTGTATTTTTTGATAAGTATATTTTTAGAATTTTTCGGTAAAATAAGAATATAATATGTTTTCATAATTTTTATTTTTTATACAAATTATATTTTAAATTTTCCTTTCTTGTTTTACTTTTGTTATTTTTTACTATAATATTTTTTATAGTTGTAATATAATATTAATTATATTTGCTATCATTATTTTATTTATTTTTGTATTATAATTGTACAACAAAATGTAATTAACTTAATTAAATAATAGTACGGCCCTAATTCATCCATTATATAAATAAAAACTCTACTCTTAAATTTCTCTACTTTCTTGAGTGCTAATAGTGTGGGTTTCTAAATCTTGGTTGCCTTATTAGTTTTTGCTTTATTTTTTCCTTTTCTATCTTTTTAATTCTTACTTCAATGTAATAGTTGGTATTATTATTTTGTTATCTATGATGTTATTGTACTTTTATAATTGTGTTTTATATGGTTTAATGTTTTAATTTTTTACCTAATTAAATATATTTAAAATAGTATTAAAACAAATTAATCTAATCGAATCACATTGATTCAATTTAAATTGAATTGGTTTGGATATAATATAGTAGTGGATTAATTTAAAAATTTTAGTAATTAATTAAATTATTTTACTTTTAAAAATATTAAAATCTCATTCAATTCTACTCATGGTACTTTGATTATAGGATGCAGGGACCTTTCGTGCACTTTTCGCATAATTCAATTGAAGCATGTAATAAGGGAGAGCAACAAGGCGTTGATGCATTGGCTAAGAAAGGAGTTCATACCTCTTATGATTTTCATATATTGTATGTGTTTACACCTAATTTTACAACAAATGGAGTGCTGCCACGTGTCACCTATGATGGCAGATATTTTATTAGTTGAGAGTTGGTGTGAATTTCTTCAGATGAGATTGAGTGGTTATTTCCACAACGGCAGCAAAACTGTTCTTTTGTTGCGAGCTTTTAGGAGGATAATTGCAGCACCAACAAATTAATCAATTTGTTGCAGATATTACGTTGCCGTTGGTCTTTCAGGATGCTGCAGCAGATCTCCACCATGCTGCCAAGCTGCTATAAATACCTAATGATAAGATCAAGCAAAGGATCGACATCTCACACAACAAACTCAGCACAATTTCTCTTTATACTCAGATTCATCTTAGTTTCAAGCCCTTTAATTCAATTTTAGCTCTACGCTTCAACCTAGATTAGTTTAGCAATTCGGTTATTTTTTTGTCGAAATTGTAATGGTGAGTTTTGCTGCCTTCAGTAATATTTCTTTGTAATCGGATTGCTTCCTTTCCTTTATATTTGTTTTCCAGATTTCCTTTAATTTAATCAAATGATGTCAACATTTAATTTCACGTTCAGTTCCATTTATGTTAATTTACATTTCATGCTGCCAGTAGATTTTTTATGCTTCAGGTTTTATTTACTTTAACTTAATTTACTTTTGCTGCAATTAAATTTCATTTTAAAGCTCTGTTTCAATTCAGTTTGCGTATTTAAAGTTCATTTAGATTTTCAGTAGTTTAGCGATCATTTGTTTACCTTGCAGTCTTAACTTTTCTTGATTACATTAGCTTTGAGGAGTCCTTGGAATCATATCCAGGGCATTTTGTCGTATAACCCATTTAGTGCAGGAAGTTCATCCCCCGTTTCTGCCAATCGTCTGATCTTTAAAGTGCAATTCACAACGTTCTTCCATCAACTCACAAGCTGAGTTCCACACTTAGAAAGAAGAGAGGGTCGTCGGAGAAATCTTTCTTGTTTTGAGCAAAGCAAGTGGCACGCCATTTCATCTGCCACGTGTCAAGAAGATTTTTTGGGATAACAGTATGATTGTTCACTTGACGTGGACCTTTTGTGCATTGTTGACTTTGTAGGGTTTGTTACCCAATATGTTAAAGTATTTATAATATGAATATCTTTAAAAAAAATAAAAAAGGAACTTTACACTACATAGTTCGTATGACAAAAACTTAACTAAGTGAGTTTGCTAGCTAGCTAATCTCATACTTTGAAATGTCCTTAGCGGATTATGGCTTTTAAATTTTAGATTCACATAATGAACTAATGGAGAAGAGGAGGATGATTTTGTTAATGTGG